AGGGGGGAAATGGGAATAGAAAAAAAAAAAAAAAAATCGAAGTAGGGGGGAAATGGGAATGAAAAAGTGAAGGAGAAGGGAAAAAAATAGGTGGGGGAGAGAAAAAGATGAAGTGGGAGGTGGGGGGATGATGTGGTGGTAATTGGGGGAGAGGAGGGTTGGGGAAAGGTGGAGAGGGATCAAGAAGCAAGGAAAAAAGGAGGAAAGAAAATAAGTGATGAAGTAAATAGAGTAAAAGAATGGGTGGTGGGAGAAAAGGTGGGGTGGGGGGAAGGGTATGAGGAAGGGGAGAGAGAGAGAGGTATGAAGAGTGGGCTAGTAGAGGAAGGGGAGAGAGAGAAAAAATACCTGGCCCTTGGTGTCTCCAAGGGCACAAGGTACACCAAGACCAGGAGGGTCTTGGCCTTCGCTGCAGCAGCCAGCTGGAGGAGGGAGTTGTGGCACTGCAGGTGGCCACGTGCACAGGCAGCAGCAGCCACGGGGGGGGCGGGGGGGGGTAAATAGCAGCCTCTCCCGTCGCTGCCTTGCTTGCCGCTGCTCATTGCTCCGGGTGGGGGGGGGGGGTAAATAGCCAGCACGACATCTGTTCAACACGAGCGTGCCGTGCTACAAGACCATAGACATTCTGTGGTGAGTGTGTTATGGTAGTGGTATACGCACGCGCAAGGCCAGCAGCTGCCTGGATTCAAACCCCAGCAGCAGCAGTTGCATCCCGGATCTTGACAATATAAATCCGGGAGCGGGGCGGGGCTGGGCAGCGTGGGCAGGTGGTGCGTGCGTGTGCGGTGGCCGGTCTTGGCCTTGCGCCGCGTCGTGACGGCTTTCCCTTTTTCGCCACGTGTTGCTCTCCTGCTGTTGCACTTCTTTTTCCCGCTTTTTCGACCGAAAACGCCCGAAAAACAGCCAAAAATCCGGCTGTCAGGTTTTGCTGTTTTCCCCTGCTGTGCGGTGTGGTGGGTGGAAGCGGGGAACGTTTCCGCTCCGATATCAATGTAGCGGACCCACCAGGTGTGGTGCTCCGCTAGTGGTAGAGATGGAGATGGAGGAAGAAGGGGGGAGCGAGATGGCACAACGCACCTCCCCACGCAAGACTCCAATGCACGTACTCCAAAATGTGCAAGTGAAGAATGATGACGAAACAAACAACTGCTGGGGTATACCACAGCGGACTGACTGGACTGGGCTGGACTGGCTGGTACCGACAGAAGTACCGGCCTGGACTGGACTGGACTGCCCCCTAATAGAACACAGGCCTGTGAGAACAGGCCAAGGGGCTGGTCTCATAGGCCAACCAGAGGTCCGCTACAGCGGGTTCCTATACTACAGCCTTCTGATGCAAGCTATCGCGCCTATCCATCCATCTACGCACGCTTATCCTATGGTCAAGAAAAAGAGGAAACAAGAAAAAAGAAAGAAAAAAGAAAAAAAGGAAAGCAAAAAGGAAAAAAGGAAAAAAACTGTTGTGTATGGCGGGCTCCTATCCCTAGAGGTTCGCTCTATTCGCCAGTAACTGAGAGTGAACTATTCCTACCTTTTTTAACTTCCCCGTCGCGCGAGGGTTCAATTAGGCCCGGCTGGGGTCATGTCTCCATTATTCGTCAGCTACGGATAGTACAAAGAACGAAAAAAGAAAAAAAGAAAAAAAGAAAAAAAGAGAAAAAGAAAAACAGAAAAAAAAAACAAAAGAAAAAAAAAACAAAACAAAGAGGAAACAGGAAAAAGGGAGACAGGGAAGGGACAGAAAAGGAATCCGCCAAGGAACAAGGTCTGAAAAAAAGTCAGAAAAAAAGTCAGAAAAAAAAGGGGGGGAGCGAGGGAAGAAACAAGAAAAGAAAGAAAGAAAGAAAACAGCGAAAAAAAGGGGGCGAAAAAAGGGGGGGAGTTTGCATCCGTTCGAAGCGTCCTCCATCCTTGCGAATTCGTTCTCCCGGTCTTCTTCATTCTCCTCCTCCATTGCCCCATCACCTGTATGCGTGTGTGTGTGTGTGTGTGTGTGTGTGTGTGTGTGTGTGTGTGTGTGTGTGTGTGTGTGTGTGTCATATTCGATGCACACAATTCCACTATAAAGAAATCATGACTGTTTCGTCGCACTCTTACCGACTCGTAAGGAGGTTGAACCCCGACAGTCTGCACAAAATGCATTGGATGATGAATGAGGATTCACCGTGTCATCAGAGTTAGCAATACCCCTATAATAAGTGGTTGACTTTACTCACACCAACCCTGCAATGCTTGGAGAGAGAAAGCGAGAGA